AAAGAAACGTATAAAGTTTAATATATTATTAGGCTACTTATAGTCTAGGGGAGACTCTTATCTATATTATATATTATATTATTCTTTCTTATGTTAGTAATTAACTATTATTATAGCTAATAAGGTTAACTACTAAACAGTTGTATAGTTTATCTTTAAGCTAAAGGGGGAGTTAAACTAGTTATAATAGTAAGTCCTAGTTAATATATTACTTTACGCTACTAAAGTTAAGAAATATATTAATTATAAAGTCCTTTAACTAGTAATTAATACTAATAAGTATAAGAATTAGGAAAATAAATATAATACTACCTATAGTATTATTATTAGCACTTATAACCTTATAATTATTAAACTCCTTAATATAGGCTAAGTTAATAATAGTAACCTATATACTCTTATAAAAACACTTAAGAAGTTTATCCTTAAGGTATTTAAAGATGCTATTACTGCCCTTATTAATAAGTTTAGTAAAGGTAGTGCCTAAGACTATAAAACCTTTTATAATACCTTTACAAGGGTTTAATACCTCTAAAGCTATATTACTAGCCTCTATAGTAAAAACTCTAACTACTATTAGGCTATTCTTATACTTAACTACTTTAAGGTGTAACTACTAGATACCTATAAGTACTACACTAATAATAATAAAACATCTACCTAGGCAAAGGTTATTAAGACTATTTATACTTTTACTTAAAATAAAGAATAAAAAATAAGACTTATTATATACTATAAAAACGCTATTAATTTAATAGTAACCTCTTCTAGTGCTAACTAAGGTACTACTTTTACTAAGAATATTACCTATAGTAGTTTTTACCTTTATTATAAAAAAAACTACTCTACTATAAAGTACTAGACTATTTACCTAAAGCTAGTTTTTACTAATTATCCTTATTATAATACCCTTTTTACTTATATAACTAAGTATATTTATAATAAGGATTATAAAAAAGGATTATTTAACTTATTATTAACTTTTATTTTTATTAAAGAAGCCTTAGGTACTCTTAGTAGCTTCTCTATTATTAGCCTAGCTATAAAGCCTAGCTATATAGTATATATAGCTATTAATAATAAGGTTATTACTACCTCTAATATTATACTAGATTTAGGCTACTTTAACCCTATGTTTAACTTATTAACCTACTTTATATCCTATATAGTCTATAGTAACCTTTAACCCTTTACTATAGTAAACAGTAATTAGGTGTATTTAGAGGGCAGTAGTACTGTTTTCTTCTAGACAGAGGATCTAGCTAACCTAACTTAGACTATTAACTAGACTATTAAAGATGTTAAGTATAGCCCTCTTAGCCTAGTTAACCTCCTTAGCCTAGGTAAGTTATATAAGGTAGGCATTAAATATAACTATACTACTACTTATATTATTAACACTAAATCTAAGGCCTATTTAACTACTATTAAATAGATCTTTAACGTCTATATTCTTTATATAACTAATAGCCTAACTATACCTATAGTAACTACCCTTAGCTTAACTATAGTTAAAGGTAAGTGCTAACTAACCCTTAAGATAATATATTACTAACTTATTTACGCTTATTTATTATAGGTTATTAAGGCCTACTGTTAAGTAGGTATATAATTTATATAGGCAGAGATTAATAACTTTTACTATAAGGCCTACTACTTAGCTAAATCTATAGAGCTTATTAGCTATAATACTCTGTTGCCCTTTACCCTTGTAGGTAAAGAAATCTATATTATATATATACACAAGAAGGGTAGTAAGTACCCCCTTTATTTTATAAAAATAGAGCCCTATATAATAAAGGGTTACCTTGTTAGTTATAGCTCTTTATATAGTTATATTTACTATATCTATATCCTTAATTAAAAGTAAGTTATCTATTACTATAATATTTATTTTTATAAAGGGAAAAAGAAGACTATTCTTTACCCTATTGCTAACGTAAACATCCTAGTAGATACTAACTATAATATACTCTTTAATAAGCCTAACCTCTAGATTTAGTTTCCTAGCTAAGTCCTTAATTCTTACCTACTAGTTACTAAGACCTTATAAAACTAGTAGGCTAACTAAACTAATAGTAGTACTATTAATAGTAAGTGTATTAATAATACTACCTATATAACTTTACCCCTAGAGAATACTACTATACCTACCTTATTACTTACTAATAAATAGCCTATAAATAAATAACTAAATAAACAGGATAATACTTTTACTAATAATAAGTTTTATAAGGTTATCTAATAAGAAGCTAACTATTTTCCTTTAGTTATAGAGGAGGATAAGCTAGACCTTATTATTAAGGCCTTTACTACTATATCTACTACTAAGTATATTACTACTAGTTACCTATGTTATACTAGTGTAGTAAAGCTACCTAGCTACTATTATAAGATAGTAGGCATTTAAAACTACAAGAAAAAGGTATATCTTTTAGCTAATATTTAGGTATACTAAGATAGTTAAAGTTACTTTATTAGTACCTTTATAGTAGCTATATTATTAAAGGTACTATCTACTAGTTATAATATACTTACTACCTTTAAGAAGGCAAAGGAAGGCCTATACTAGTACTATTAGAAATAGGCCTATAATACTAAGATTTAATAATTTAATAATAAGAAGGTATATACCTTTATTAACCCTTTAACTAAAGCTAAGGTGCTACTAGGTAAATAGGTATTTAATATTAAAACTAATATAAATAATAAAATTATACGCTTTAAGGCCTAATAGGTAGTCTATAGTAACTTTAAGTAGGGTAATTAGTTATTATAAAAGGTATATATAGCTATAGCTACTACTACTACTATTTACCTCTTTTTTACTATTATTACTCTTTATAGATTAAAGTATAAGATATATAACTTTAATACTACTTTTTTTACTGCCTCTGTTCTTACTAATACTAACGTCTATATTAAATAACCTACTAGTTATACTACTGCTAATAATAAAGTCTAGTTACTTTAAAAGGCCTTCTATAGTCTATATAAGTTACTACTGTAGTAGTTTATACTTATTAAAGGTAAAATAAAGAAAATTAGCTTTTAGCAGAGAATTATAAAAATACAAAATACAAAAATACAAATACATGTATTTGTATTTTTGTATTTTAGAGGAAAAATACATTACATGTATTTGTATTTGTATTTTACTAAAAGGAAATACAATACAAATACAAATACATGTATTTGTATTTGTATTTTTGTATTTTATTACACTTTATTTATAGTTATTAATAGTTATATATTAAAATATAATTAAACCTATTATATTTCTTTTATTATATTTCTACTGTATTTTTAAACTTTTAGTTAGTTATAAGCCTTTAAGTTAATAAACTAAGAATTATATTATTAATATATATAATATATATTTAGCTACTTATTTTATAATATAAAGTAGAATATAATATAATTACCTAGACTATATACTACTATTAATAATAAATAATAAAATTATAAGTAAGTAATATATAGTAGCTTATAGTGTAATACTAAGTATTAAATATAATAAATAATCTTTAAGTATAAAATAACTATAATCTTAAATCTAACTATTCTTATTATCTATATCTAGTATATCTAATAGTATTAGTATATATATATATATATATATATATATATATATATATATACTAAAGAATATCAGAGCTATTACTAGAATAATCTATAACTAAAGTATTATTCTCTTCTTCTTCTATTTCTTCTTCTAATTCCTCTTCTATATCGTTTTCAATATATATACTATTATTATCCTCCTCTTCTATAGTAAAATCTAATTCATCATCTGAAACTTCAGAATAATCAAATAAATCACTATATAACTTAGGATTAATTAATTCTAAGTTACTATTATTATTAATAATAGAATTCCAGTTCTTTAATAGTACTAGTTGCCTTCTGTTTTTATGGGTAAGTCTAGTTCTTCTTTTTGTTATTATATTACTAGATTGGTTAAAACTAGCTTCTACTGTAGCTGAAGTTGAAGGTATAGCAAGGTATTTTCTAGCTATAATACTTAGTATAGGGAATTTAACTTCGTTATCTTGCCACCAGTTAATAGGGTTAACCTAGTTATAGTATATTAGTATTTAATCTTATTTTAGTAGTAAATTATTAGTTAATATTAATACTAGTAATTAATAACTTAATATTAATACTAGTAATTAATAATATTACTTATAGAGTTATAGTTTATATTATTACTAGTAGTTAATATTCTTTCTAGTAATATTATTTACTACTAATAAATAATAAAGGGTCTAATAATAATAAATTAACTTACTTTATCTCCTTGAATATTAACTCTAAAGTAGTTATTTAATTTATCCTTTTGTATATTCTTATTTTCTTGTTTACTTTGAATAGGAAATAAATTACTAATATATTCCTCTTTAACCTTATTATTAGGTAGCTTAATTTTACTTTTAATAGTATTAGTAGAAGTTTCTATAGTAGTATTAATAAGTAAAGTTTCTTTATTTTTTCCTTTATTCTTAGTAGTAATATTATTACTATTAGTTAAGGTTTCTATACTTATTCTATCTTTAATAGATTCTAAGTATAGACCTTTTTGATTTTTTATTAATAAATCATTAATAATATAGTTTTTTAAGCTATTAATTAGTTAGTTATTTACTATATAATAATATTACTATTAATAAAGGTTTTATAATATATATATATATATATATATATATATATATTAACTTTATATTTAACTTACCTATTAAACTCCCTTGCTAAGTCGTTTTTTGCTAAGGTTATAATACTATTAGGTATAAAGGATACTAGACTATTTTTTCTAAGACTTTTATAATTAAGTCTAGGGTCTAGAATAAACCCTATTAAATAAGGCTTATATTTACTATAATAAGTATTAGGCGTAATAGGGTATGGAAAATAGTCTTCAAGCTTCTGTAACCCTATATTTATAGCTTTAATAAATATAGAAGAATAAGGATATTTAGTTTCATTAAACTAGAAAGAAATAGTTAGTAGAATTCCTATAGTTATTAATATACTATTTAAATAGTATAAATAAAAGAAATATAATAATAGTATTAATTTAATAAATAAAAGAATATTATTAATATAATAAATATAAGATTAGTATATATACTAGCTTTAATATATAGGCTTATATATTTTAATAGTAAATACTATAATATATATATATATATGAATATACTTTCTTAAATATATACTTTCTTAAATAATAATTACTTACTTTATCTACTTGGTTTTCTTTAGAAGTATGTAGGGCTTTAATATCTAATAGTTGATAATAAATATTCCCTATTATACTAAGAGTAGTACTAATAGTTATATAACTCCGGCTTTGTAGATATATAGTAGGGCTATAAAAAACTCGAAGTATATCTCTTAAATAAGTAAGTTGTATCCAGTCATTAATATTAGGATAAATAATCCTAAATATCTTATTTTTAGTTAACTTATATAGTATATCTAAGGCTGGTTTTAGCTCTATAGCTATATTAAGCATTAGATATACTGAATTCCATCTAGTCTCATTACCTAGAGGAAGATTAGTAACTATTAGGTTATATAGTATTATATATATATATATATATATATAAAGATATTAATATAAGTAGGTATATATATATAGATATTAATATAAATATATATATATAAGTAGGTATATATATATAGATATTAATATAAATATATTTATATAAGTAGGTATATATATATATATATATATTATATATAGTAGTAAATAGTTACTTACAGAGGGGTATTTTTGTTTTATAACTATTAACAGGGAATTCTTTACCCTTTTTTGCGTGGTTAATAGCAGTTTGGAATTCTTCATATAATATAGTATTATTTCTTAGTAGTATTACTAATCTTTTCAGCTTTCCAATATTACCTATTATAATATTAGTCTAAGTATATATATATATATATATATATATATATATTAATTATTATAATAATAATTAAAAGTACTTACTATAGTTATTTTTTAATACTTTTTCTTGATCTTTATAAGATAATTTATCTAAAGCGCCTGTATAGTTATTTAAGATATATTCTGCTTTAAATTCAGATATATCTTTATCTAACACTATACTGCTAATATATTTATCTATAATAGCTTTAGCTACTAGATTTAATATATGTGCTATACATCTTATATTATATAAAGATATACTATTATTAGTATTATAACTTAGTAAAAAGCTATTTAAAAAAGTATTATTATTAGTGCCGTTATCTCTTGTTATACTAAGAAATTAAATAGTTAGTTAACTATATATATATATATATATATATATACTTAAGGTAAAAAAATAAAACACTTACCTAATAATATTTTCTTTAGGTATACTATATTTATTAATAATACTTTCTTTAAAGACTTCTTGTATATATAAGCCAGTATGTGCACTATTTAAGTATTTAAAGCCTAAATAAGTTATAATAGTTAGTATATATATATTTATAATAAGTTAATAATAGTAAAATTATTAATAACTAGTTTTAGATAAAAGAAATAGTTAATATACCTAATTATATATAGTTTAACTTAGCAGAGTTATCTATATAAGAGCCTATAACCCCTAAATAGGCCTTATTATCTATAGAGGTCCATATATCTAGCTGAATAGATATATAACCATAGTTTAAAAAGTGTTGCTGTAGGTTATATATAATAGTTGCTTCTAAGCTAGTAAACTTAATACCTAAGTATTTAGTTAAGCCTCTATAATTAACAGTAGGACTAGAGCTATATCAAGATAATATTAGTAAAATATATAAATATATATATAAATATATATATAGTAATAATTAAAAGCTAACTTACTTATTTAAATAAGATAATAAAGAATTAAACTCATTAGAAGTAATATTACTATAAGGTATATTAAATTGTAGTAGATAATTAATAATATAATTATAGAATTCTGTTTCTTCTATATTATTATAATTATTAATAGTACCACTTTCTCTATATCTTCGTTTATTTGGTGTATTAGACATAAAGTTATTAATAGTGCTTTGTGTAATATTACTTCTATTATTATTCTTTATATAGTCCTGAACTATTAAAAGGTTAGTAAGTAAATAATAATAATATTATTAATTATAATTATTATTATAATAAGAGTAGTAGTTATAATAATACATAACTATTATATATATTAATAATATATATATCTATAATATATATATCTATAATATATATATCTATAATATATATATCTATAATATATATATCTATAATATATATATCTATAATATATAAATCTATAATATATAAATCTATAATATATAAATCTATAATATATATATTATTAATATATATATATATATATATATATAGTTATATTACTATATATAAAGAAGGTAATAATATAGAAGTATGAAGTAACTTACACTTAATTTTATCTATATCTAGTTCTTCTTTTTCTGATGTTGCTATTATAGGGTGGGTTTTTTTATAGTGAGTTACTGCATTAGACGTCTAAAATCAAGCTGCTTTAGTAGTAAATTTCTTATTACAACCTTTAATATTACAGGTTAATTCTATTTCCCTATCTTTACTTAAATTAATAGGTAATAGTTTATAAGTAAATAAACCGTTAGTAATAGGATACTGCTTAGTGCCTTTAAAGATATAATTTTTTTGATTTTCTATTTTATGGGCGTATAAAAACTGGTTTTTAGTACTATTAATTGATATCTGAGAGGAATTAATAATAGAATCCTCTGCTTGAGAGGTGCTAGAGGATTCACTAGCGTAGAAGGAATCGCCGGATTCAGAAGCCATTTTTTTATTATATATATATATATATATATATATATATTCTTTAATAAAGAGTAAAATAAAGTAGTTAAGATAGTTAATAGTTAAATAAATAGTTAAAAGTATTCTTATAATCTTTACTATTATTAATATAATAGTATTCTTTAAAGTATATAAGAAAGTAAGTTACTATTTACTATAAGAAAAATAAAGAAGTAAAATACTACTATATATACTTTTTTTACTTAGTATATAACTTACTATAACTATATATTTAGTATATAACTATAACTATACCCTTATACTATAGTTATACCTTTTAATTATATAAACCTATAAATATAACTATACCTTTATACTGTAGTTATACCTTTTAGTTATATAAAACTTTAACTATAACTATAACTATACCTATATCTTTAAGCTATAGTTATACCTTTTAATTTTATAAAACTATAACTATAACTATAACTATACTCTTATATTATACTTATAGTTATAGTTTAAGATTTTATAAGACTATAACTATAACTATAACTATACTCTTATATTATACTTATAGTTATAGTTTAAGATTTTATAAAACTATACCTATAACTATAATTATAACTATACCTTTAAGGTATATTTATATCTCTTAAATTTATAAAACTATAACTATAACTATAACTCTACTTTTATATTATACTTATAGTTATAGTTTAAGAATTTATAAAACTATATTAATAGATATACTTATAACTATACCCTTAAGCTATAGTTATATCTTTTAATTTTATAAAACTATAAGTATAACTAAAAATATACCTTTAAGCTATATTTATACCTTAAAATTTTATAAAACTAAATCTAAAACTATAACTATACCTTTATATTATACTAATAGTTATAGTTCTAGATTTTATAAAACTATAACTATTACTATAATATAATTATACCCTTATACTATAGTTATACTTAGAGGTTTAGATCTTATATCTTATAATTTTATAAAGAATAGAAATACTATAATATATATCTAAATATATATAACTTATATCTTATAAAATACAGTATTATTAGTATATATAGTTTATATAGACTATTAAAGTTATTTTTATATAATTTATTTAAGGAAGAAAAAAATAAATAACGATATGTATTTTAAATACAAAAATACAAATACAAATACATGTATTTGTATTTTAAATACAAATACATGTATTTAAGAAAAACTAAAATAAAATACAAATACGTATTTATATTTGTATTTGTATTTGTATTTTTGTATTTATATTTTGTATTTGTATTGTATTTTGTATTTTTTTGTAATTCTCTGGCTTTTAGCTAGTTAAAGAGAAAATCTACTTCTTCTATAATAAGGACCTTAATACCTACGCCTTAATATATATTAATAATAATATAGTAGCTATATTTACTACTAAGATAACTAGAAAGGTATATAATATACTTACTAAGGTCTACTTACTAAAGGACCTTAGTAAGGCCTCTTAGTTTCTTAGCTTTTAGATTTAGTATTCTACTACTAATAAGATTTATATTAATTAATATAAGTATACTAAAGGTATACTTTATTACTTTAGTTATATTAACCTTTAGCTAGTTAAGACCTTATTACCTACTAACTAGGACCTTCCTATTACTTAGAATAAAGATAACTATACTAAAGCTAACTAATAACTCTATATTAAATAGACTAGCTACCTTAACTAGTTAGCTACTAGAATACACCTAGATATTACTTTTGTAGTTAGTAAGCTCTCTTAGGCTAATACTAGCCTATTACCTACCTATTAGGTAGCTATTAAGTACCTTTTTTACTACCTTAAAGGTACTACTTATTATAATATCTTATTTAGTAAACTTAACCCTTTTACTAACGTTAGCCTTTACACTATAGTAAATACTTCTTTTACTAATAATTACCTATTATAGGTATCTATAGGTAGTTATATTATTTACTTTACTAGCTTACTAGTAGCCTAGAAGTCTAAGTAATAGACCTTTGTTACTTTAAGCTTTACTAAGGTAAAGTTTGTTAACCTTATACTAGTAGTAATTACTATAAAGTAGATTTATTACTATACTAAATAGCTCCTTAGCTAACTACTAGATACTTTAATTATCCTTTTTACTAATAGTGCTAATATAATAGTTAATATTATAAATTCTCTTAATAAAGTATAAACTTAAAGTATTAATGTCTAATATAAATAGATAATTTAAGAGGTTTATATCTATAAGAATATTACCCTTTAACTTATTTATAGCACTAAGATAGCTACTAATAGCCTTATAAAGGTATTAGCCTTAAATAAATATAAAGATTTTATTAGACTATTAGGTATAGTAGATAGTTTAGATTAATAAGTTATATAAGTATATAGATAGACTATATAGATAATAGATTATATAGATTATATAGGCTTATTAGTATATAGATAAATTATTACTAGACTAATAGGTAAATTACTAGCCTTTTACTAAAGTTATTATATACTTTAAAAACTCCTTAGATTTAGAGGATTTAAGGTTAGGTAGTTATTTGCTACTATTGTTATAATATACAGGAGTAGGCTAGCAGAGCCTAAGGGGGAGTGTTAGTAGAGGAGCCTATAGGTTATATAACCTACCTCTACCTCCTTCTTAGCTAGCCTCTGCCTACTATAGGCAGCCTACTCCTAGTTAGCTTTATATTATAGTTATTACTAATACAACAGTATTACCTTACTTTACTGCTCCTATAATTACTATATCTACTAGTAAGGCTAAAGCACTTATATTATTTATACTAAAGAAAGATAGCACTATATACCTTTATATAGATTATTAAGGCCTTAATAAGGTTACTATAAAGAATTAGTATTTACTACTATTAATTAGTAAGCTATTAAATAGGCTTTAGGAAGTAAAATAGATCTTAAAGGTAGATATTTATAATATATACTACTGTATTAATATTAAGAAAAAAGACTATTAAAAAATAGTATTTTAGACTAAATATAGTTACTTTAAATATATAGTTATACCTTTTAGGTTAATAAATATACCTATAATATTCTAGGCGTTTATTTACTAGGCGTTTAGTAAGCTACTTAATATATATTATATTATATATATAGATAACCTTATAATTTACTTTACTATAAGGAAGTAATACACTAAGGACCTTAAGAAGGTCTTCTAAAGGCTTTAGATATTTAGACTATTTATAAAGCTATCTAAGTGTTTATTCTATTAATAGAAAGTTAAATTCCTAAGGTATATAATTACTTTAGATAAAATTAAGATAGATAAGTCCTAAGTGTAAATAATTACTAACTAGAAGGCACTAAAGTCTATAAAAGATATTTAAGTATTCTTAAGGTTCTATAATTTTTATTATAAGTTTATCCTAGGGTATATAAGTATTACTATACCTATAATATCTTTATTAAAAAGGTATATAAGTGCTCTTTATATATTTAAATAAATAAAAGAGGCTAATATAGCCTTTAATTAGCTAAAGGTTACTTTTTTATTAGTAACTATACTAATATATTAAAACCTATAATAGGCTATATATATAAAAATAAATATATTAATTAAGGCTATTATAGTTATCTTTTTTAGTAAGTAAAGAGGTAGTAGTAACTAGTTACTTCCTAGTTATAGAAGCTTAGTAAGACAGAGTAATAATAGGCTATAAAGTAGTAAAAGCTACTAGCTATTATAGAAGGATTAGAGTATTAGGCCTATTACCTTTAGGGGCTTTTAAAGAAGTTCTTAGTCTTAATAGATTACTAAGTATTAAAGAGTATTATTAGTATACCTATATAAGACCTTTAGAAAAAGCTTACTTACTAAGTATATAAATTATTAGTGTTTAACTTTAACCTAGAGTATAAACTAAGAAAAATAAATTTAGTAAATAGACTATCTTAGAAGCTAGACTATATAAAAAGAGAAGTACTATATATAGATATTTTATTAACACTAGTAAAAAAGCTATAGCTTATTAATAAGCTACTACTTAATATACACTAAAAGATTATAGGCCTTAAAGAGAAAAATAAAACTATAACTATATATATTTAAGTAGTAAAGACTTTATTAAATAATCCTAGCTATAAAGTAAATAGTTCTTAAGATAAAGAATTCTTTTTTTTAAGTTAGTAGTAGGCTATAAGGCGCCTTAACTATTTAGTAATAATTACTACTATTATTACCTAAGGCTAAAAAGTAAAGAGGTAATTAAAGAATACTTAGTAAGAAGTTACTTAGGTAACTAAAGAACCTAAAAAAGCTAAGGTTATTATACTAAAATAATATATCTTATACTAAGTTATAAAGGAACTTATAACTAGTAAAATAGTATATACACTAGACCTTATAACTAAGATAAAAGAGCTTATTAAAGGACTATAGGCTAAAGATAAGTTTTACTTATTATAGTTAGTAAAAGTATATAGTATAGCTAATAAGTTAAAAGTATATACTATTAATAAAGAAAGTACTTTATTCTTTAAGAGAAAACTAGTAATCTTATAAGTAAAATCTCTAAAAGTAAAAATCCTTTACTAACACTATAATAACCCTAGGGTAAGCTATATAAAGGCTACTAAGACCCTTAAGCTTATTATAAAGAAGTTCTATTAGAAAAGAATTATAAAAGATATATAATAGTATATTAAGGGATATAAGTATTATTTTAGTATTATAGTCCTTAGGTATAAGCTATATAGGTAGTTATAGTTACTACTATTACTATTATACTTATTCTAGGAGATTTTAATAGACTTTATTATAAGGCTATTACTAAGTGCTTATAATAATAGTACTAAGTATAACTATATACTAGTTATCCTATATTAAATAACTAAGTTTATAATATTTATACTTACTTAAAAAATACTAAATATAGTATAAATAGTAAAAATCCTCTATAAGAGGGTAAAGTATAGGTTTAAGACACCTAAAGGGATTATAAATAATAAGGATAAGCTATTTATAAGCCTTTTCTAGGAAAAGTTTATAAAAGAAAA